CACCGCCCTCCCACGCAACCCCACCGCCCTCCCACGCAACCCCACCGCCCTCCCACGCAACCCCCCACCGCCCTCCCACGCAACCCCACCGCCCTCCCACGCAACCCCACCGCCCTCCCACGCAACCCCACCGCCCTCCCACGCAACCCCACCGCCCTCCCACGCAACCCCACCACCCTCCCACGCAACCCCCCACCACCCTCCCACGCAACCCCACCACCTCCCACGCAACCCCACCAGCCTCCCACACAACCCCACCACCCTCCCACACAACCCCACCACCCTCCCCACAACCCCACCGCCCTCCCACGCAACCCCACCACCCTCCCACGCAACCCCACCACCCTCCCACACAACCCCACCACCCTCCCACCACACCCCCACCGCCCTCCCACGCAACCCCACCGCCCTCCCACGCAACCCCACCACCCTCCCACGCAACCCCACCGCCCTCCCACACAACCCCACCGCCCTCCCACGCAACCCCACCGCCCTCCCACGCAACCCCACCGCCCTCCCACGCAACCCCACCCCCTCCCACACAACCCCACCGCCCTCCCACACAACCCCACCGCCCTCCCACACAACCCCACCGCCCTCCCACACAACCCCACCACGCCTCCCACGCAACCCCACCACCCTCCCACACAACCCCACCGCCCTCCCCCACAACCCCATCACCCTCCCACACAACCCCACCACCCTCCCACACAACCCCACCCCCCTCCCACACAACCCCACCACCCTCCCACGCAACCCCACCACCCTCCCACGCAACCCCACCACCCTCCCACACAACCCCCACCCCTCCCACACAACCCCATCACCCTCCCACACAACCCCACCACCCTCCCACACAACCCCCCCGCCCTCCTCACAACCCCACCACCCTCCCCACAACCCACCACCCTCCCACACAACCCCACCACCCTCCCACACAATCCCACCACCCTCCCACACAACCCCCACCACCCTCCCACACAACCCCCACCACCCTCCCACACAACCCCACCACCCTCCCACACACCCCACCAGCCTCCCACACAACCCCCACCACCCTCCCACACAACCCCCACCCACCCTCCCACACAACCCCCACCACCCTCCCACACAACCCCACCAGCCCCAACAACCCTCCCCACAACCACATCACCCTCCCACCCCCCCTCCCACATAACCCCATCGCCCTCCCCACAACCCCATCGCCCTCCCACAACCCCACCCCCCTCCCCACAACCCCCATCGCCCTCCCACACAACCCCACCACCCCCCATAACCCTCCCCACAACCCCATCGCCCTCCCACACAACCCCACCACTCTCCCACACAACACCATCCCCCCCCCTCACACCCCCCAACCACCCTCCCACACAACCCCCACCGCCCTCCCACACAACCCCACCACCCCCCATAACCCTCCCCACAACCCCCACCGCCCTCCCCACAACCCCACCGCCCTCCCACACAACCCCACCACTCTCCCACACAACACCATCACCCCCCTCACACCCCCCAACCACCCTCCCACGCACCCCCACCGCCCTCCCCTACAACCCCATCCCCCTCTCCACAACCCCCATCGCCCTCCCCACGCAACCCCATCGCCCCTCCCACGCAACCCCATCCCCCCCCCCACTCACCCCCCCCCCCCCCACACAACCCCACCCCCTCCCCACGCAACCCCACCACTTTCCCACGCAACCCCCCACCGCCTTCCCCACAACCCCACCCCCCTCCCCACACAACCCCACCGCCCTCCCCCACACAACCCCCACCGCCCTCCAACACAACCCCACCGCCCTCCCACACGACCCCATCGCCCTCCCACACGACCCCACCGCCCTCCCCCACACGACCCCCCCCCAACCCCCCTCCCCACACGACCCCACCGCCCTCCCCACACGACCCCACCGCCCTCCCCACACGACCCCACCGCCCTCCCCACAACGACCCCCCACCGTCCCCTCCCCACACGACCCCACCGCCCTCCCCACACGACCCCACCGCCCTCCCCACAACCCCCCACCGCCCTCCCCACACGACCCCACCGCCCTCCCCACACGACCCCACCGCCCTCCCCACACGACCCCACCGCCCTCCCCACACCACCCCCCACCAGCCCTCCCCACACGACCCCACCGCCCTCCCACACGACCCCACCGCCCTCCCACACAACCCCACCACCCTACCCACAACCCACCACCCTACCCACAACCCACCACCCTACCCACAACCCCACCACCCTACCCACAACCCCACCACAACCCCACCACCCTCCCCTCAACCCCACCACCCTCCCCACAACCCCACTACTCTCCCCCCCACCCACCCCCACCACCCTCCCCACAACCCCACCACAACCCCACCACCCTCCCCACCACCCCACCACCCTCCCCACCAACCCCACCACAACCCCACCACAACCCCACTACCCTCCCCACCACCCCCCACAACCCCACCACCCTCCCCACCACCCCACCACCCTCCCCACCACCCCACCACCCTCCCCACAACCCCACTACTCTCCCCCCACCCCAGATCACAGACCGCGCCCTCGTTAGACTCAAGTCTCCAGAATGATCTGCCGCCACGAGGGGATGAACAGGGCGCTAAGGGTCTGATTTCCCAAGAATTATTACATCTTTCTGTTGCCCTAAGTCAGTCCAATTGCTGGCCCCTCCTCCCGCTCCTTCCCCTCTACCCCTCCCCCCTTCCCCTCTACCCCTCCCCTCTTCCCTTCGTATCTCCTTCCTCTTTCCCTAAACCTGCTCCACGCCCCCCCCTACCCATCTCTCGCCTTCGACATCCCATACCCCTTCTCCATTTCCTTCCTTAATGTTCTCTACAGCGTGGAGGAGATGGGGGGATGCGTCAGTTGGAAAGAGACTAACTATATACACTTATATATCACCCTTATACATCACGTGCACACACATTCACACACACACACACTGATAGAGCCCAGTGGGCTCAGGAATCTGTACATCAGTTGAATGACGGTTGAGAGGCGGGACCAAAGAGCCAAAGCTCAACCCCGAAAGCACAACTAGGTGAGTACAACAACTAGGTGAGTACACAGACACACACACACACACACCCACACACACACACACAAGACGGCGAATGTGGTCCCAATATACAAAAAGGGCGACAGACAAGAGGCACTGAACTACAGGCCAGTGTCCTTGACTTGTATACCATGCAAGGTGATGGAGAAGATCGTGAGAAAAAACCTGGTAACACATCTGGAGAGAAGGGACTTCGTGACAAATCGCCAACATGGATTCAGGGAGGGTAAATCTTGCCTTACAGGCTTGATAGAATTCTACGATCAGGTGACACAGATTAAGCAAGAAAGAGAGGGCTGGGCGGACTACATTTTCTTGGATTGTCGGAAAGCCTATGACACAGTACCGCATAAGAGGCTGGTACATAAGCTGGAGAGACAGGCAGGTGTAGCTGGTAAGGTGCTCCAGTGGATAAGGGAGTATCTAAGCAATAGGAAGCAGAGAGTTACGGTGAGGGGTGAGACCTCCGATTGGCGTGAAGTCACCAGTGGAGTCCCACAGGGCTCTGTACTCGGTCCTATCTTGTTTCTGATATATGTAAATGATCTCCCGGAGGGTATCGATTCATTTCTCTCAATGTTTGCAGACGATGCTAAAATTATGAGAAGGATTAAAACAGAAGAGGACTGTTTGAGGCTTCAAGAAGACCTAGACAAGCTGAAGGAATGGTCGAACAAATGGTTGTTAGAGTTTAACCCAACCAAATGTAATGTAATGAAGATAGGTGTAGGGAGCAGGAGGCCAGATACAAGGTATCATCTGGGAGAGGAAATTCTTCAGGAGTCAGAGAAGGAAAAAGACTTGGGGGTTGATATCACGCCAGACCTGTCTCCTGCAGCACATATCAAGCGGATAACATCAGCGGCATATGCCAGGCTGGCCAACATACGAACGGCATTCAGAAACTTGTGTAAAGAATCATTCAGAACTTTGTATACCACATATGTCAGGCCAATCCTGGAGTATGCAGCCCCAGCATGGAGTCCATATCTAGTCAAGGATAAGACTAAACTGGAAAAGGTTCAAAGGTTTGCCACCAGACTAGTACCCGAGCTGAGAGGTATGAGCTACGAGGAGAGACTACGGGAATTAAACCTCACTTCGCTGGAAGACAGAAGAGTTAGGGGGGACATGATCACCACATTCAAGATTCTGAAGGGGATTGATAGGGTAGATAAAGACAGTCTATTTAACACAAGGGGAACACGCACAAGGGGACACAGGTGGAAACTGAGTGCCCAAATGAGCCACAGAGATATTAGAAAGAACTTTTTTAGTGTCAGAGTGGTTGACAAATGGAATGCATTAGGGGGTGATGTGGTGGAGGCTGACTCCATACACAGTTTCAAGTGTAGATATGACAGAACCCGATAGGCTCAGGAATCTGTACACCTGTTGATTGACGGTTGAGAGGCGGGACCAAAGAGCCAGAGCTCAACCCCCGCAAACACAACTAGGTGAGTACAACTAGGTGAGTACACACACACACACACACACACACACACACACACACACACACACACACACACACACACACACACACACACACACATGATGGTAGTGAGCACCGTCACACTGAAGAGTCACACTGCTGAAGGCTCCAGGATAATTGAAATTATCCAAGTGTCAGGAGTAGGGTGAGGGTTGCAAGTGGTGTCCCAGAATACATGAAGGTGTAGGGAATTTGAAAATAAACTAAGAGATAAGAAATAAATGTTCGTGAATGAAAAATCTGTGGTAGAAAAGTTGATCTTTCAAAACAGCAGAATAACAATAAAAATGGCCGCCACCACAGGAGAGGACAGGACCCCCAACAAAGGGATCTTTTGCAAGTTTCTCACAACAAGATGCAATGAAAGGTGGTTTTCTTGGCAGGTTAGTCATTATTGAGGACATGCTAAAGAATTATGAATAAAAAGGTTATTAAATTAGGACAAGAAAATGAAGGCCTCAAGATTGAATTTTGTAATTTAAAAGAAAGTATTTTCCAGCAAGGTAAGGAAATTAGCAGCTTGACTGATAAGGTAAGGATGCAGGAGGAACACATCAAGGAACTAGTAAAGGATAATGAGACATGGAAAGTGAACAGTAGGGAATTTGAAGAAATTAACATGAAAATAGACTCATATGGTGAACAACTCCAAGGAACCTTGAGGGCTAACATGGAGTTAGGCAAGGAGATGCAACGAGAAACTTCATTGGCAACTCAAATAGATGAGGCTAATAAAGCACTACAAAAGTATAAAGAAGAAATAAAAAGTGACATATGCTCAAGTTATAAAAGAGAAAGAGACAATCAAGGAAGTGTGTTTGGAAGTCAAAACCAGAAATGACCAACAAGAAGCAGAAATTCGGCAAGCAATTAGAAAAGAACTGGTTACCAACAGTAAACTGGTACAAAACACTACAGATAGAAGTAAGTCCATAATAATTTTTCGATATTTAGAGAAGGAAATAACATCTAGGGTGGACTGAGCAGCGGAAGAGATGAAAATCATAGAGAAAATAGTAGGTTTAGGAGAAGGCTCAAAGGAAAATGTCAGTGATTTTAGAAGAATAGGAAAATATGAGAAAGATAAGAACCGCTCCTTAAGGGTGACGTTTAATGGAGTGAAAAACATGATGGAAGTGCTTAGAAATGCCAAGAAATTGCAGAGTGATGAGGTTGGCAAACTTTGATCAATAAGACAAGACCTCTCAAAGGAAGACAAAAAAAAACTGAAAATGAACCTAATTGAAGCAAAACGTCTAAATGGGAATAGAATGAAGACGGAAAATCTTTTTTTTCTACAAATTGTCATGGACTGGAAAGCTTGTGGAATGGTACATAAAAACAAGGCAACAAAATAATTAGTGGAAGGGGGAGCAAAGAGCAAAGGCAAAGGGAACATGTTTCTGAAAATTGTATATACCAACATAGATGGAGTGAGGTCAAAAACTTTGGAGTTGCAAGATATAATTCAGCTTAAGGTCCCAGATATTGTCGCATTATTAGAGACGAAACTCGAAGAAAATATATTAAATGAAGTCGTATTCCCAAGGGGCTATTCAGTTTGGAGACGTGACAGGAAAATTAGGAAGGGAGGAGGAGTTGCTGTGCTGGTGAAATAACACCCGAAGGTAAGAGTTAATATTTGAAAACCCTCGAGATATTGATATAATGGCATTGCAGGTCTGGAATCAGGATGATAAGCTGATAATTTTACATGCCTACAGCCCACCAGCAAGCAACACATGAACAAAGAAAAAGAACTGGATGACAAACGAGAGGGCCTCATAATGGTCATGAGATATATTATTTTACAAGCAGATAAAGATAAGTCACGACTGTTGATACTGGGGGACTTCAACTTTAAAGCAAAAGACTGTGAGACCCATGAAGCAAGAACGGAGGAATTTTGGACAAGCAGATTTATGAGGCTCATTCTGGAGACATTCTTGTATCAACACATCAAGCAGGCCACAAGAATGAGGGAAGATGTACCATCAGTACTGGATCTAGTGTTCACAAGGAAAGTAGAAGAGATATTTGACATCCAGTACCTTCCTCCCTTGGGAAAGAGTGATCATATCATGTTAGACATTAAATATACTTTAAGATATCATCTAGAAGAAAATGGAGACATTGAAACAGTTGATAAACTTGATTTTAAGAGAGGTCACTATGGGGAACTTCGAAAATTTTTTAATGAGTGTAATTGGACAGATTTGTTGCTAGGTAAGGAAGTAAATGAGACGTATGCGAAATTTTGCAAAATATACGATGAATGCACACAAACATTCAAACCAAAACAGAGATGCAGGGCCAGAAAACATGATTGGTTTTCAGAGACCAAAACACACAAAAATGGAATCAATATAGGAAGAGGCCAAACCCCCAAACATACCAGCGATACAAAGATGCGAGAAACAGCTATACGGCAGTAAGGAGAGAGGCAGAAAGAAGTTTTGAAAAAGGGATAACAGATAAATGTAAAACAGAACCGGGCCTATTCTACAAATTAATAAACAACAAATTGCAGGCAAAGGATAATATCCCGAGGATGAAAAGGGGAAACAGATTCACGGAAAATGAAAAGGAAATGTGTGAAACATTAAACGAAAATTTCCAAAGTGTGTTTGTACAAAATGATTTCTTCAGAGAACCTTGCAATAAGAATTCCAGAGTACAACATAAAGCGCATAGGGGTGTCTAGAGACGAAGTGGAAAATACGCTCAAGGAGCTAAGTAAGAACAAAGCAGTTGGCCCTGATGGAGTTTCACCATGGGTTCTGAGAGAATGTGCACTTGAGCTCGGCATTCCACTTCACCTGATCTTTCAGGCATCCCTGTGTACAGGAGTCGTAGCAGACGTGTGGAAAAAGGTTAACATAACACACAGAAATCACAATTGTGTGATGCATCAAATGAACAAATCCACAAGGGCCGTGACGAGGATTCGAACCTGCGTCCGAGAGCATCCCAGACGCTGCCTTAATCGCCTGAGTTACGAAATGGTCAAAAGGAGTTGAAACCGAAGTTCTACTGAACTTACTGGATCCTGCAGCCTCTCCGAGGCACAAACCAGGGTTTTACACAACTCCCCCATGCACTCGAGCTATGAGCACTTTTGATCATGTCTTAGCTCAGTCGATTAAGGCAGCGTCCGGGATGCTCTCGGACGCAGTTTCGAATCCTTGTCACGGCCATTGTGGAATTGTTCGTTTGATGCATCACGCAATTGTGATTTCTGTGTGTAATGAAGTAAGGACGAAAAGGGAGAACGGCTTATTGACATAGCTCGAGAGCATGGGGGAGTTGTGTAAAACCCTGGTTTGTGCCTCGGAGAGGCTGCAGGATCCAGTAAGTTCAGTAGAACTTCGGTTTCAACTCCTTTTGACCATTTCGTAACTCAGGCGATTAAGGCAACGTCTGGGATGCTCTCGGACGCAGGTTCGAATCCTCGTCACGGCCCTTGTGGATTTGTTCAAAGTTAACATAGTTCCGATCTACAAAAGTAGAGTAGAGTAAAGTAGAGTACAGGGGAAAACTCCCTCAATTATAAACCTGTATCATTGACACGTGTATTAGTGAAAATATTGGAAAACTAATAAAAACTAAATGGGTAGAGCACCTGGAGAGAAATGACATAATATCAGACAGACAGTATGGTTTTTGATCTGGAAGATTCTGTGTATCGAATTTACTCAGTTTCTATGATCGAGCCTCAGAGATTTTACAGGAAAGAGATGATTGGGTTGACTGCATCTATCTGGACCTAAAAATGGCTTTTGACAGAGTTCCACATAAGAGGCTGTTCTGGAAACTAGAAAATATTGGAGGGGTCACAGGTAATCTTCTAACATGGATGAAAATTTTTCTGGCTGAAAGAAAAATGAGGGCAGTGATCAGAGGCACTGTATCGGACTGGAGAAATGGCACAAGTGGAGTACCACAGGGTTCAGTTCTTGCAGCAGTGATGTTCATTGTCTACATAAATGGTCTACCAGTTGGTATACAGAATTATATGAACATGTTTGCTGATGATGCTAAGATAATAGGAAGGATAAGAAACTTAGATGATTGTTATGCCCTTCAAGGTGACCTGGACAAAATAAGTATATGGAGCACCACTTGGCAAATGGAATATAATGTGAATAAATGCCATGTTATGGAATGTGGAATAGAACATAGACCCCACACAACCTATATATTATGTGGGAAATCTTTAAAGGATTCTGAAAAAGAAAGAGATCTATCTAGGGGTGGTTCCAGATAGTAAACTATCACCTGACGACCACATAAAGAATATTGTGCGAGGAGCCTATGCCACGCTTTGCAACTTCAGAATTGTCCCTTAAATACACAGATGGCGAAATACTAAAGAAATTGTTCACGACTTTTGTTAAGCCAAAGCTAGAATATGCAGCGGTTGTGTGGTGCCCATATCTTAAGAAGCACATCAACAAACTGGAAAAGGTGCAAAGACATGCTACTAAGTGGCTCCCAGAACTGAAGGGCAAGAGCTACGAGGAAAGATTAGAGGTATTAAATATGCTAAAACTAGATGACAGAAGAAAAAGAGGTGATATGATCACTACATACAAATAGTAACAAGAATTGATAATATCGACAAGGAAGATTTCCTGAGACCTGGAACTTCAAGAACAAGAATACACAGGCCTACAAGGGTCAGTGGCCAAATGTAACGACCCTCCCCCTCCCCCCCCCCCCCCCCCCCAGGCCTACGAGTGACCGTTGGAAAAAGCAAAACGGACGCTCGTAGGCCCGGTTTCCACTACTGCTGTGTTCCTCAGGGGGGACTATGCTGGGTGGAAGAGTCTACAAGAATGGTGTTGCCTTAATTTTACCTGTTGAATAAGTACATTTCGGTACGTATTGAGAAACTTGAAAAGGTTCAGAAGCTTGCAACAAAGTTCCTCTCTGAAGCGTGAGAGATGCGGTGTGAAGACTCTGAAGCGTGAGAGATGCGGTGTGAAGACTCTGAAGCGTGAGAGATGCGGTGTGAAGAATGGTTGACAGTATGTCCCTAGAAAAGGGAAGAGGAAAGGGAGGGAGGGAGGGAGGGAGGGAGGGGGGAGAGAGAGAGAGAGAGAGAGAGAGAGAGAGAGAGAGAGAGAGAGAGGAGAGAGAGAGAGAGAGAGAGGAGAGAGAGAGAGAGAGAGAGAGAGAGAGACAGACAGACAGACAGACAGACAGACAGACAGACAGACAGACAGACAGACAGACAGAGAGAGAGAGAGAGAGAGAGAGAGAGAGAGAGAGAGAGAGACGAGAGACAGAGATAGAGAGAAAGAAGATATAATAGAAACGAATAAAATATTTATGGGAATTGACAGATGGGAAGAAAACGTAATATTTCTGATGATACCAGTGGCTGGAAGCTGGAGAACTTTAACAGTACTCTCAAAATTACAACTCGAGTTCTCTCCTACAAACAGCTGCTTAACTTATCCTGACTGTCTAGCATGTCTTCCCCTCATGATGGTCAGGCTCCCACCAACGCCAGCTTCCTCTCTTGGTATTCATCGCGGATAAGACTTTTCTTCCAATCTGTCAGTCCCCATAAATTTTACACGGCTCTATCATTGAGGCTAGAGAGGTGGGGTCCAAGAACTAAAGTGGGCAGTGAGGTGGGGTCCAAGAACTAAAGTGGGCAGTGAGGTGGGGTCCAAGAGCTAAAGTAGGTAGAGAGTCAAAGATAAAATATTATTGTAACATCCGGGATGTGTTGGGTTGTTTTGTTTTCGAGTCCTCGGTGACCCTGCTGCCTTTATGGGTGGTTGTGGAGGACGGGGGTGGGGTTGTGGAGGACGGGGGTGGGGTTGTGGAGGACGGGGGTGGGGTTGTGGAGGACGGGGGTGGGGTTGTGGAGGACGGGGGTGGGGTTGTAGAGGACGGGGGTGGGGTTGTGGAGGACGGGGGTGGGGTTGTGGAGGACGGGGGTGGGGTTGTGGAGGACGGGGGTGGGGTTGTGGAGGACGGTGTGGGGTTGTGGAGGACGGTGTGGGGTTGTGGAGGACGGGGTGGGGTTGTGGAGGACGGGGGTGGGGTTGTGGAGGACGGGGGTGGGTTGTGAAGCGGGGGTGGGGTTGTGGAGGACGGGGGTGGGGTCGAGGAGGACGGGGGTGGGGTCGAGGAGGACGGGGTGGGGTCGTGGAGGACGGGGGTGGGGTCGTGGGGATGGGTGGGGTCGTGAAGGACGGGGGTGGGGTTGTGGAGGACGGGGTGGGGTTGTGGAGGACGGGGGTGGGGTTGTGGAGGACGGTGTGGGGTTGTGGAGGACGGTGTGGGGTTGTGGAGGACGGGGTGGGGTTGTGGAGGACGGGGGTGGGGTTGTGGAGGACGGGGGTGGGGTTGTGGAGGACGAGGGTGGGGTTGTGGAGGACGGGGGCGGGGTTGTGGAGGACGGGGTTGGGGTTGTGGAGGACGGGGGTGGGGTTGTGGAGGACGGGGTGGGTCGTGGAGGACGGGGGTGGGGTCGTGGAGGACGGGGGGTGGGGTTGTGGAGGACGGGGGGTGGGGTTGTGGAGGACGGGGGTGGGGTTGTGGAGGACGGGGTGGGGTTGTGGAGGACGGGGTGGGGTTGTGGAGGACGGGGGTGGGGTTGTGGAGGACGGGGTGGGGTTGTGGAGGACGGGGTGGGGTTGTGGAGGACGGGGTGGGGTTGTGGAGGACGGGGGTGGGGTTGTGGAGGACGGGGGTGGGGTTGTGGAGGACGGGGGTGGGGTTGTGGAGGACGGGGTGGGGTTGTGGAGGACGGGGTGGGGGATGTGGAGGACGGGGGTGGGGATGTGGAGGACGGGGTGGGGGATGTGGAGGACGATGCAAGGTTATACCCGGTTCTCCCCGGGGGCTTCTCCCCCGCGGGCTTCACCCCTGGGGGCTTCTCCCCCACGGGCTTCACCCCTGGGGGCTTCTCCCCCGCGGGCTTCATCCCTGGGGGCTTCTCCCCCGCGGGCTTCATCCCTGGGGGCTTCTCCCCCGCGGGCTTCATCCCTGGGGGCTTCTCCCCCGCGGGCTTCACTCCTCGGGCTTCTCCCCCGCGGGCTTCACTCCTCGGGGCTTCTCCCCCGCGGGCTTCACTCCTCGGGGCTTCTCCCCCGCGGGCTTCACCCCTGGGGGCTTCTCCCCCGCGGGCTTCACCCCTGGGGGCTTCTCCCCCGCGGGCTTCACCCCTGGGGGCTTCTCCCCCGCGGGCTTCACCCCTGGGGGCTTCTCCCCCGCGGGCTTCACCCCTGGGGGCTTCTCCCCCGCGGGCTTCACCCCCGCGGGCTTCACCCCTGGGGGCTTCTCCCCCGCGGGCTTCACCCCTGGGGGCTTCTCCCCCGCGGGCTTCACCCCTGGGGGCTTCTCCCCCGCGGGCTTCACCCCTGGGGGCTTCTCCCCCGCGGGCTTCACCCCTGGGGCTTCTCCCCCGCGGGCTTCACCCCTGGGGCTTCTCCCCCGCGGGCTTCACCCCTGGGGGCTTCTCCCCCGCGGGCTTCACCCCCGGGGGCTTCTCCCCCGCGGGCTTCACCCCCGGGGGCTTCTCCCCCGCGGGCTTCACCCCTGGGGGCTTCTCCCCCGCGGGCTTCACCCCTGGGGGCTTCTCCCCCGCGGGCTTCACCCCTGGGGGCTTCTCCCCCGCGGGCTTCACCCCTGGGGGCTTCTCCCCCGCGGGCTTCACCCCCGGGGGCTTCTCCCCCGCGGGCTTCACCCCCGGGGGCTTCTCCCCCGCGGGCTTCACCCCCGGGGGCTTCTCCCCCGCGGGCTTCACCCCCGGGGCTTCTCCCCCGCGGGCTTCACCCCCGGGGGCTTCTCCCCCGCGGGCTTCACCCTTGGGGGCTTCTCCCCCGCGGGCTTCACCCCTGGGGGGCTTCTCCCCCGCGGGCTTCACCCCTGGGGGGCTTCTCCCCCGCGGGCTTCACCCCTGGGGGGCTTCTCCCCCGCGGGCTTCACCCCTGGGGGGCTTCTCCCCCGTGGGCTTCACCCCTGGGGGCTTCTCCCCCGCGGGCTTCTCCCCCGCGGGCTTCTCCCCCGCGGGCTTCACCCCTGGGGGCTTCTCCCCCGCGGGCTTCACCCCTGGGGGCTACACCCCTGGGGGCTTCTCCCCCGCGGGCTTCACCCCCGCGGGCTTCTCCCCCGCGGGCCTCACCCCCGCGGGCTTCTCCCCCGCGGGCTTCACCCCCGCGGGCTTCTCCCCCGGGGCTTCACCCCCGCGGGCTTCACCCCCGGGGGCTTCTCCCCCGCGGGCTTCACCCCCGGGGGCTTCTCCCCCGCGGGCTTCACCCCCGGGGGCTTCTCCCCCGCGGGCTTCACCCCCGGGGGCTTCTCCCCCGCGGGCTTCACCCCCGGGGGCTTCTCCCCCGCGGGCTTCACCCCTGGGGGCTTCTCCCCCGCGGGCTTCACCCCTGGGGGCTTCTCCCCCGCGGGCTTCACCCCTGGGGGCTTCTCCCCCGCGGGCTTCACCCCCGGGGGCTTCACCCCCGGGGGCTTCTCCCCCGGCCGCGGGCTTCTCCTCGGATGCATCAAAGTTTTAGTCAAAGATTTTATTTTCATTTTAATAAAATTTGTTTTTGTGAGATTTGTGTGAGAGATTTATGCTTGTACAAAAATATTTTTTTTTTTGAGTTCTTTTTTCGTAAAGTTGATGTACAATATATCGAAGGTCGGATTTTATTTCCTTTCTTTTGCAAAAGTGCTGAACCTTGTTTTGAGAATTTTATATCTGAACTCGCTCCTTATTCCTTCTATCTCCTACACGAATTTAACAATCGATAATTTGTTCAGCTCTAGCAGGTGTGTGATCCAAGATGACAGGTTTACCAGGCCTTTCTGAAGGGTTTAGTGCCACGGTTGGTGAAGGTGTCACTATGCCGCCTCGGGATAAAAACAAGAATCCGGATTTTCTGATATTCTTGCGAGAACGTCAACAGGTCATAAGAAGAAAACTGGTTGAGAAGGATTCCTTGTTAAATTTCGACGCTAAGGAGACGTTGTGGGGTTTGTGGTTGTCGGAAAACGAGTAGTGATGTTTGCCCTTTGGGTCTGGATCCTGCCGTAAGGCATTCCTCTTCAACGGCCGGAATTAGTCCGACGCATCCGTTATGTGAGGGACCCTGGGTCACATAACGGGGTCCGATGTCCCCCGGGTGCATTTACCGCCTGGGCTCACATGGAAGTGTATGGATTTGATACGTTTTTCAGTTAGATCTTAGGTGACCTGCCCCGGGCTGGCCGAGAAGGGCTTGTGTGTTGAAGGATCTCTTTGGGTCGTTGTGTACCCTCGGAGCGGTGAGTGCGTCTGGCTCCGGTTGCTCTCATGGTCTCACACAGGTTTTTTGCCTGTCAGGTAACGAGATCTGTTCGACTACCCACACTGACAACTAGTCTTTCAGTTAGTTTTCCGCGGTGGGTGTCGATCTGGAACTCACGTCCCTCGGCTGTAGGCAGACGTAACCTAGCATCTGCCACAGCTGTGTTTACATGCAGTAAGGCAAAGTTGTTTGACTCCGGCAGAATATAAACTGGAAAGGTTTATTTTTCTCTAGCTGAGGACAGCGGGTAAACAGACAGCCCCTGTGCCGCCCTGGCTCTTACGTCAACGCCTACAATTCGCCGAGAACGTCAAGAGGTCCAGAAGAAGGAGTCCCAGAGGGGCTTGGGTGGGACCGCTCTCAAAGTCAATCGTGGGTCGTAAACAACGCAGCCTCGTATAAGAACTTTTCTGAGAATTTGGGCTCCAAGGATGGCAATTTATGAGACATCGAAATATGTCTGCCACATCTGCCGAGAAATAAAAGAAATACGGTGGGAGGAGGTCGACTGTGCAGGTGTCGTATTTTATCGAGGATGAGCAGAGATTGCCTTGGCGACCACCCCGAGGGCTTCACGCAGTTTCTCACGTTAACTTGTACGAAAATATTACTTTTATAACAGGCTCCTCCTCAGATATGAGGAGGATTCATGATCCATCAGGATCAGAGGGCGCCTCAGGAATCATAGAAAATTCAGTTTAATCCCAGTTTACATTAATTTTGCAGCATACTGTGACCTAGTGGTTTAAGTCGTATGCTTGAGAGTACCCAGTGTGCAGGTTCGAATCCTCATGGCTACTAATTTTCTCAAAGCACTTGTGTCACATATTTACATCAAAACTTAAATAATTGTTCTATGAAATTTTGTAAATTATTCACCATTTACATTTCACGAAACTTCCCATCAGAGCTAACTTGTAGCTGGGCATCTGCCTCCATCTTTTTAGAAATCCCTCACTGGTTTATGAAACTATCTTTCCATATAATTTAAGGCTGCTCAACTAATACATAAATATCAAAAACGTCTTCTACAGAAAGAATAGTTACGCTGGCCATCCCATCCTAACGTGACCTAGAGAAGAGCTTATTTTACACACACACACACACACACACACACTCACACACACACACACGCACACACAGTTGTTATCCCACTAATGAAAAAAATCTCGAACATTACCTATTGGCACCATTTTTTAAGTTCAATTTTTTCTTGTAAATTATAGGACAAAGAGAAGTTTAAGTCAAATCTTAAAATCTTTATCTTCCAATATATTCACTCTTCCTTGCTTCATGTTACATTCGCTATTCCTTAAAGAAGATCCACCAGTTATCCTTGTGTTCATGAATTGAGTATCGTGTGTAATGGTGTATATGAAATGGGTATTTTTCTGTAAATGTGTTGGTTTGTATATGTGAAATTTTGTATGTGAACCTAATTGTATACGAGTGCTAGCTTGCATGTGAATGTAATTGAATGGGTTTGTGAAAATGTGTATGAGTAAGTTTGTATTCATGAAACGAATATTGTATAATTGTTTGTGCAAAATTTAGTATGTATATATGTGAATGTAATTGAATGTGAAAGTGTTTATATGCAAGTGAGACAATGAAAGTAGCATTTTTTGTGAATTTGTGCAAGTGAGATTGTAAAAAAGAGAATTTTTTGTGTGTATGTGAAAAGGTATTTTGTGAAATTGTATGTGATTTTTTTTTTTTT